CCCCCCCCTCCCAAGAAAAACTTTTAATTGATCCCTCAAATTTAACCTGCTGAGCTAAAATGACATTTTTGGACACGGGCCACGCTAGGTCATTTCGACCATCAACAAGTCACATTACCTGTCAGGTCTGCTGCAGTTTTACTCACATCATTGTTTAAACAGTCCTTCCCTGTCCTGACTCACCTTTTCCGACCAGTCCCCATTCTTGTGTGGACCAGCCAGAACGATTGCTCAGTGCAGGAAAAGCACTGCTCGAACGTGAAGTGTGAATACAAGTACCATCGGCAGTACACTGACAGTATATTCTCATCGAAATGGTGCGTTGATGAAAATCTTCTAGGCAGCATTATTACATCAATGTATGCAGAGGAAATGCGGTACTCCGTCATAGACTAAGCATATCGATCGACGATGACGGCGCCATGTTGTAACAGAATCAGTGCTGATGCTCATTGTTAATCCATCTTGCTCAGGCTGATTGGTGACTCTCGACAGATATCTAAATGTTTGATCCGGTAGATCCATTGTGGAAACCGATCGACCATATATCACAATTCAAACTTAATTGCCGGTAGTCTATAGAAAACCAATAAAAGATGATGGAATTTCTCCAACCCAGCTGGCCCGAGCATTCGACCAGGGACATTGAAATAAGCTAGGTAATGATGTACCATAAGGTGCCAAGTTTAACGGTTTGAGTCACCCCACCAATGGAATGAACGAAAACTCAAAAGATGTACCAATTCAAGAAAATAGCACAACACACTAGCAGTTCATGCATTGTGTGCTCCTAAACAAGGGAGTATGAAAAGATTTTGGTGCAAAAATAAAATATAACTAGAAGACAACCCGAAAGCGCACATAGATGATGCCGTGGATGGTGCGGTAAAAACAAGTGATCGTGCTGTACAGTGAAGATTGTTCACATTCAGATCAGCGGGAAGAGGGAAATGGAACGATAGGATTGTCAGATGGCATCATAAGTACAGGAGAAACACGTAGAGACTCCCTGTCCTCCAGTTCTGAATGCATAACACGCAATTCGTTCAGTAATCCGGATAATTCAGACAGTGCGTACTGGCGGTCTTGAGAGGTTAGTGTGCTCCACAAATGACGAATTTCAACAAGGGCTGTAGAAAATGAACTGAGAATGGTGCTCTTCAGTTGCATAAGCCCGTGGTGGCCTAAATGCACCCGCGCTTCAATGGTAGAGACACTGGTTTCTGATTGACTATCCACGGAACTCTGGAAAACCGAATACACTAATGTTAGCATAGTGTTGTGAACCGGTTTAAAAGACGAAAGAGAAGTCATAAAATACTAGCTAAAAGGTTTCAGTGGTTTAACTCCATTTCACTCAAAATCGCAATCGGTATACATAAGGTCGATTTTCTATCTGGTCCTACTTGTCTCGTTAGCGTTACTAAAGAAAGCAATCGAATTAATATGTGGAAACAACCAAACTCTTTCGTTTTAGGCTTCAAACTGTCAGTCTTAATACGCCTATCTATCTACAGTGATCACAACTGGTACAGCTTTTAATAATTGATGGAAGAGGGTAATGGAACCGGACAAACAAGTAATGTGTGCGATGAATCGTATTCGTTGTTTGTCTACTTTGATGGTGGATGATAAATATAAAAGTTGAGCGCTTTGCAAGTAAGTTTAGTGCAGTCACGCATGGAGTGTGACAGCACTGTGGTGCAAGCGTCATTAATATCCTGACTGTGATTCATTGTGTATTACTTCCTGGGGGTTCTACACGGGAGATCTGCTGGTGAGCAGCGCTCCATGAGTAGCTTACAGGTAATGGTCCAACTGTTTTTAAAATGTTTCCCTTCGGCGCAAAGATAAGTGGGATAAACGAGGAGCGCATCATCATGGACTACGAAGTGCGTGACAAGAACCATGGAATTCGATTAGGTCCTTACCATAAATGAGCTGCTTCCCCTAAGCAGAATCTAACAAACGTCAGAGTTACCGATTCGATGTTCTCCCTAGACGCGGAAAATGTTTTACATATGTCGATCATCACACCGAAACTTTCACTTGCAACTTACTTCTCTGTATTCACAGCAGATCAGATAGAGTAGCGAAAAGTATACCCCGTGAACGAATTGTAACCGGTCCAATTTTTTAATCAGAACCTCCGTACTTCATCCTCACAACGTTGAAACACGTAGACGCTACTGTCAAATATTATTCTGGGAAACTCTCCAGGGGTTGTACAATAAAACACCGCAAGTTGGCTGCGAAACGATTACATTATCACCTTAACTTTTTACTTCAGACTGTATGCCATCTGATTAAAGCGACCGTTTCCTATGTGATGATCCCACCTAATTATCTAGAATTTGGCTAGAAACGTTTTTGCCTGCCATCCGCGATACCATCCAGCTATGTGGACACTTGTGACACTGGAGTTACATGACACCTTGTGATGATACAAAGCCTAGCATAAGCATGTTATTGATAACGCATTGTAATAGACCTCAAAATACACCGAAAGATACGAAGTTTAAGGTACACACGACACGAGAATAGCATGGTCTGTTTTGGGAGACATGAGGTTTTGTGTACGGTCTAAGCGTTCGCCTCTAGTTTAGTCCTAACAACCAACCGGCATCATCATCAATGATAGCAACACCAGATGAGAAACTAGTTCTTTACTGTCGCGGAATAAAGGCTTATACTGGAAAGAAGGGGCCTTATTCAGAGGGGCATAAACAGAGAGGTGGCCAACCTTTGACCTGGGAGATAGGTATGAAAGATGCTACGGGAAGTTTGGGTGCTATCGACGCGATTCGCCTTCCAGCATAGGGACCATCTGGCCTTCACTGCAAGATATGACTGGCCATTGTTGTCAATCGTGTTCTTGTTGTCACTCTCTATCCAGATTGCCAATGGGTGTGTGGAAGGGGGCGAGGGTGTAGGTAACTCGGAATGTTGGTGGTAGGCTGGCATCCACTTCTTTCTTCTCTTCACAATGAGGATTTCAAATAAATGATGGTTGTACAGCGGTGAAGCGTCAGTGTTGAACACAGAGGTCATGATGATGAGAGGGGGACACAGGACTAGGCCGCAAAAAACATCCCGGCTGCTTACACCTCCAAAACTCAACCAATCTGGATAGAAACTGACAGCACGACGACACTGATATTGGGTGAGCTGCCACATCGTTCAGGGTCTCCAGCCAAGCATAGGGACGGTCGCGTAGACCCGACTCAGGAAGGCATCCACACGTTTCGTAGCATCCCTCGTTCCATTTATCCACATCAAATTTTCCCAACCTGAGTGATTCCGCCACACCGAAATACGCACAACTAACAGCGGTCTCCTGAATACGTCATCCTCAATTCACTGGTTCTACCGATTCCAACTACAGTTCTGTGGTATCAGTGATCAAACACCTGAAGATGTCTTAGACGCCCTGCCGGAAGTGGCCAAGTCTTGGAGTCGTACAACAATACGGGCTGCATCATAGTCCGATTTGCACGCTCTACGAGACACAAAAATATACACTTTTAATGCCACAAGTAAGGCGAATCGGAAAAAGCAATTGTGGTGCAATATTCATGTGCTGCCCCCATCCTCACACTACTGTCAGAGTAACACATCTTCCGAGATATGTATTGCGCTTCATCTGACCAGTGGCACTCTTGTAGGCATGCTGGAAGATTAGAGTCCGGCCATGTGGGTTTGTCGGTTGGAAGCACACCTCGGAGTATTGGATGACCTGGATCGGCTTTTTAGCAACACACGCGCTTCTTGCTTTTCTCCAAAATGTGACCAATGTTGCCGGCCTATCCCAGGTCAGCAAGATTCTCGCTCGCAGATGTCGGAACACCGGGTTTTGGGAGACGTTCCAGGGTTCACCCCATTATTATATCAATGACTAAGACAGTGAGGTACATTGGTCGGACACTATCGCTTAAATGAGAGCATCCCATAAACTCACGTACCCAAAAGTATGTGAATACAAACATCGGATGATATTCATGAACTTCCGTGGCAACCGAGCGCACTCTTGGAACACCAAGAATCTCTTGCGCCTATACGCATGCCGTTGCCACCATCGAAGGGAGTGTGAAAATGTGGTCCAAACAGATCCTTCCTGGCCGAAATCACGTTTGCTTCTCTCAGGTCACGTTTTCACGCGCCTTTGTAGGACGCAATGGGTAAAGTCCATTCCTCTGTGAATGCCACACTCACTGGGAGCACCGTTTGTGGAAATGTACACAACTACCGATTCACCTCAGTTGGTTTGGATGGCCTCTTTTGCCCAGGGAGGGAAAGACATGTTAGACGAACACGGATTGAGGAGCTCACTTCCATCTTGGACAAAGCGGGTGGGAGTTCGTCGGGACCAGCAGCAGTGTGATGCTTGTAGGAGAAAAGGCATACACTTATTTCCGAAACCGACGGAGATTACAAGTTCACTATCCGGGGATTCGTTGCGGGTCGGTAGTGCGACTGAACAACTGCAGGTGGCGTTTAATTGGTGTTAATTGTGTTCAACTCAACGAACTGGGTGTTTTTTAACTAATAAGCGGCCGTTGTTATCAGTGGTTGTTTCGCTCCTTATGTCCTGTTGCGCTTACCAGCTTGATTAGTTTACGCACTGAGCCGAGATAGCTCAGTAGTTACGGCGCGAATTTACTGGCCGGGAAGTCCGTGGTTAGAATCCAGCATCTGAGTCTCGACTGTCTCTGTCTTGGCTTGGGCAATTTGATAGTATCCCGATCCTCGAGCTTTCTTTGGATAGCGCGGCAATCATGCACCGGAAGCGCAAAATAATATGGCAAGACTGAGTGAGCACACCGCAGTTGACAATGGTATCAGAGCAATTTATTTGGATAATCGCACCACGTTGGATAGCGTTGCCGATAAAATGCACGGCAGAATCACCGAATTTCCCTCTCACCCAGTTTAGAAAACTCTAGAGCCAGTGTGATAGTCACTGACGAGTTGATGAAGGTCAGGGTCTACGTGTCCGGTATTGCTATGTGGTAGAAAAGCCTGTTCACTGCGTGCTGAACACCACGACATTCAAACCGCTGCACAAGTGTTATGGAAACAATGGACTGGCAACGCTAAAGCGTGGTGAATGATTGCTTAGTTTATTCATCGACAAGTTGACTCAGTCCAACTAGTTGAATTGGAACGGTTATCAGTTTCTTATTGAAGTTCCTGATGAAGATACCATAAGGTGGGCGATGCGTGAACTGGACACGGGGCAAGAAGGTAACAAGTCGTAGTCACATCAGTGCCCATCGTCCGCGAGGCTGAGGTAACAAACACATCAAATCAATTGTTAAAAACACTCACAGACGGTAATTTCCAGTAGCTAGGGGTACTATTCTTAATCACTGACCCACTATTCTTTTATTTTTTACATCCACCACTCCACCTTTATCGGATAAACTTGCTGCCATAAACTGCAGCGATCCGAACGATCATCCTAAGCACAGGTTCATGGCGGTCAAACCGAGTTGAGCTGCATTTTTTGCGCTAGAAGCCTACAAGGCAAGTGAAATATTAACGTTTCGTGATTTATACGCTCTTGAAATGCTAATGAGAAGTATCCACATAAGATTATAATGTTGATAGATAGGAGGACCACTTTCGTTCGGATAACCATGACAATGAAACTACACACCAATGCCGTTTAACCCCTAGCATTCTGGTGTTAGAGGCAAACATGTAAGCATCAAAAGTAGCCCATAACGTATCCATCGTGATACGAAAGCCTTTATTGCTCACTTAAGGACTGTGTTCAACCACATCGTGAACACTCGAAATGCAACAGGGAAACAAACTATGATGTACAAGTTAGTCCTATTGCTAGGATTAGGAACATTACATTACTACGTCCGGCATCATTCATCCAGTAAAGGGACCCAGCTTGACGGCCTTTCGCTTCGTGGAGGTTTGTTTACCTTCGCAACTTCGTCAATTGGACATCTTAACATGGAATCCTCTATCTGCTGCCGTTTAACAACTTGAGTTGGAGTGTAAAGCTACTTCTACCTGGACGTAGTGTTCGTTATTTCCAATGCTCTCTGTTGAGAGGTGTCTATGTTAATTTGACACTTGATTGTCGATTCGAAATGATACGATATTTATATCACCTGATTTACTCAACTCATAGGGTTATAAAGCAAAGACTGAGATTGAAGACAACTTCTGGGTTGGGAATCGCTATGCATAATAGCTTAATGGGTTTTTGCCCATAGAATTTTCTGCAAATCCGGTGCATCGCTCGTCGAAAAATCCGCCGAATTTCAACGAAGTAGTTAGATGCGTTGGCGAATAAATAAAGTTCAAAGGTGGTGGGGTAAATTTCACCTCTATGGGTATGAAATTCTTAAAAAGGCGTTCGCAAAGCACTCTGCACACCAAATGAGTAGTGTCACAATAACGGAAACAGGAACAAGCATCTACAATATATAACAAATTATATAGCCTCCTACGTTTATTAACATACGTAAGACGTATTTGTGCGATTCGTCCCGCTTCTCCGTTTACGAGTATAGCCATAACCACGACGGGTCCCCGCGCGTCTCCTCGATAAGGTTGATGTGCGAGCGCAGTTTGAACGGCCTCTACCAATGGCCCGAAGAGTCCTCCCGCGAGCCTGCTGAAGGTTATCTCCGACTGGGCCATTTGGTTCTGAGGCTGCAATATGACTCAAGTTGGGGTTCACAGGATTGCTCACTTCCATGGCAGGAAAGTTTAGCTGGCCGTCTTGCTTTTTCCTAACACCATTCATCAACAGATCTCGGAATGATCGAGTAGGCCGAACTACTCGATGGGGCCTATAGTTATTCAGAGTCGAGATCCAACGGGCCAGCGGTTTCCCAGTTAAATAGTGAGCTAGCTTACCAAGTATGATAGTTCGCAGTTGTGATCCGTTCAAGGTACAAGGCAAACGATTTGTTTTCTCGTTGTAGTAGGCATTTACCGATTTCCTTTCGAGAAACGGAAATAACTCCAGAGCACGGAGCACCCCAGTTTGCAAAGCCCCGTGGGTGCACTCCTACAAATGGAATAGAGTAAAACGGTGGAGCTCATTTAGCAGCAGAGTCTAAGTGAACGAAAAGTCACACAATACTTAATTTGAAGCGACAGGCGAAATCCCTTCCAGCATTTAATCATTTTCCGTAGAGTTCCACGCTACAAGATGACTGCGCTACAGTTGTACATCAGCAAGAGGAAGGAAGAGCAGAAGTGGTGTGAATACTATAAGGAACGCCAAAGGATCTATTTCCCGACAAAATTAGGTCTGGCAATGCTGCGGTTGGTCTGTTCTGGCTTGGATTACAACCGAGGTGACATTATCAGTGCTGTGTCACCAACTTGCATGAGCCACCTAGAAGCTGATAACGATCGCCAGGACTATCAACTACTAACGTGATTATACATCTTAATCGTGAGCCCAGAGGGAAAGTTTGGATCCCCATTTCTGACTAGTCGGCGCCGTTGACTTGCTGTACAGTGATTTTGAGTAGATTTAAGGATGTACACAGCTCTCAAGGCAAATTTGCTATGATGCACTTACGCTCTAACTTTAGGGCAACGTGAGGACCGACTATGTGCTATCATCAAAAAGCCATAAATTAGATGCATGACTGCCAAAAGTAGTCATTATTGAACTCCATAACTTGGCAACAGTTCCATCCCGCTCAAGCAGCTAAATAAAGATGAAAGATCGGCTTGCGAATTGAAAACTTTGGAGACCCCTGATATGTTATCAGGGATTTACAACGTACCATGCGGTCAAACTGCCACAGTTTAATCTTATATTTTCAGTGCACCTCGCGCTCACAAGGATCAGCGAGTTCGACTGGAAATCCATGCGTCTGTTGCAAACATTTGGCTTCAGTCCTACGACTTTCATATTATAATGCAATTAGTTGTAAAAGTGATCACATGGCCGGCTACTGAACACAGACTAAAGACTCATGGAGGGGCGGCGCAGGACCAACGCCTCGAATATTATGACAATAGCAATCCTACAGTAATTCCTCAAGTTGCTAGGCGGTTCTTTATAAGCATCTACACGTTTCTTCCGCAAGTCTGGTAGGTAAGTACCATTTTCGTGCATAATAGAAGGCTAAATTTTCTCATATTTTGAGGCGTTGTCGTCTTTTCACTCACTCCGATCGCGCTTTGATTGAAACTAGGAGGTTCTGTGTACGCTGTTTTGCTATACCTAAACGATTAGACGATGCCATTTGTACTGTTTTGTCAAATTTGACTGAGAGGGAAAACGCCGGCATTCCCGTTCGGTTGTTGTGATATCTTAACAAGCACTAGTTTTCGGAATTTTCCACGGCTTGGCTAAGCTCATGCGCATAGAAGTCGCCAAAAAATCCAGACAATGCAGCCAAACGGCTTGAAGAAGACTAAGTTAGAGCACGGTGGGGTCACTTTTGTCCCAATTTACTTTATTACCAGTCATGACGGTTATCCCGGTGAGTAGCTTGTAAAAATAATTGTACCAAGGCAAGAATGGAATATGATGGATTTTGATGTATTGGGGAATAGATTAGAAAATCTTTTGTCGTAAGCAAGACTGACAAACTGCACCACTGTTTTCAATCAAGTTGGGCTAGTTGTGATGCCTTCCAGTGCGTCAAGAAATGTGCCTGTCATAATGACATCTTCGTAAGGGTTTCGTCGAAGTGTTTATTTATAACCAACTCTGTGGTTTATCAAACTTTTACCTTTGCTTCACTAGCCGTCAGTGTGCCCTCGCCAGCGAACAGGAGACGTGGGACATCAGACGTCGGCGTTCCCACTGTCGACATATCTAAGCCACACATGCGGCGCGCATCTGCACTTGTCAAACTGGTGGCATAAAGCCGTCGATCTTCATCGGTGCTGCCAGGTTCACCGGTCGTGTACGCTCCCAAAGCGAAAGGATCCTCCGACCAGCGAGTCACCAAGTAGAACATCGGCTCAGGTATCCGGCGGCTTGTTTTGCCGTCATTCGGCGTAGTCGGGTACATGCGATCCAAAAGGTCCAAAATCACGTCAACGACTTCCTGGTCACGGTGACCAGTCGGGCAAAGACCACTTCCACCCCATATATGGCAACAAAGTACTCCCGGCTTGCCTAAGACAATAAAAGAGGATTGCATGGTTAACCAATTATAGTGAAATTTCGGTTGTGACAAAGGGGCATATGTACCCCAAACGAACGTTCTAAGTTAGAATAATTTGCATTTCATCAACTTTCTGACATAGCTGCTACGATTGCATAGATTTTTCACTTGGTCCTGGGGGGATGCAGCTTTAGATAAGGTGAAGGTTACTCGGGAGCAACTTTGAACAAATGATGTCACAACGTCCAGCTACGAGCTTACGCTCGTCATTTTCGAGGGAATGGTGTCCGTGTTACTGAAATCAGTGAAGCCGAACTGGTTTCGTGCGCAAATAAGAACTGTAGACGGAATTTCGTGATAGTTTTCAAGCAAAAGTAACGTGCCATCAGGACCCAGCTTATAAAACCTGCCTCAAACATCATGATGACAGAGAGCAACATCAGTGTTGACACTGATGTTTCTCCACCGTACAACCACAAAGTTTATTTAATTATATTTGAAATCTTAAAGGTGAAATAGCGGATGGGAGGGGGACCTAATGCTAGCTTACGGCATATATTCCGAGATGCCTCCAAACGACCTCATGCGAAACGTACCTACCGGGATTCCTCATCATACGGCTAAACTAGCTTACGTTTAGATTTGAGAAAGCGAAAAACAAGTGGCTTCACGCGAATGATTTAGTTGAGGGCCATTCAGCTGGGGAAGTTGATCATCCTCGGTGTTCAATCAAAACCAATCGCACAAAAAATGAATACTCAACACGTCGGGCGAGGATTCGGCAAACATAGAACGGCAGGGTAAACTATGCACCTAATGGCGTGGTGGATTAAGTGATGAATAAATCTGCAAATAATAAGTGAAACTACAATCAACTCAACACAGACTAAATCGTAAACATGATGAAAATTAACGCAATTCGTCCCTCAATCGTTCACCCAAAAATTGATGCATCATTTCAGAGTCAACTACTTAACAAGCAGCATGCAGGTCATCATCAATCCAGGAACGAAGGCATGATAGCTAAGCGAATCAGCAAGCGATAGTGTTTTTAGTCAATCGGACTCCTTAGCAGAAGCGGTAGAAAGCCCAGTGCAACTAAACGTAAAATTTTCCCACCTACTCAACTGTTGTGGCACTAGCTCATCAGCAACGACAGACGAAGGGTATAAACTATGCTTAGGAGGATTCCTGATGAGTTGAATCAGAGGGATCAAGCCCAATTCGGATAAGCTTACCCCTAAGCCATTGCTGTCAAGGCTTGCTAACCTATACCTATAAACGAAGCATCTAGTCAGACATCAAGAGCTGCTTTGCCTGTTGGAAGGAAGAGATCCTGACGATTGTTAATCCTTCTGCCTTAAAATTTGAGCAAACGAGTAAACTAGATAACTGGCGGGAGGAAGCTTTGCGTCAAAAGTAAAGCGTTGCTCAGTAGTAAACCTATCGATTTCATTCTAGACGTTTCCGAACGAACGACTTCTCGATCAATTCCAAACGTTTTCCAACCGACTGAACACACCACACGTTCCTAGGACTTTTTCACATAATAGGAAACGAGTCAATACTTTTACAACTAGCGAGGAGGAGGCACCACCGGGACAATGCACTTTGTCATCCACTTGGATATCATACAAAAACAACTGACCCTCAGCACTTCCCCCAACTGCTTACATCACCATGATGTCATCGTTTCAGAAGGGCTTCGTAGAAAAATGAAATCTTAAAGGTGAAATAGCGGATGGGAGGGGGACCTAATGCTAGCTTACGGCATATATTCCGAGATGCCTCCAAACGACCTCATGCGAAACGTACCTACCGGGATTCCTCATCATACGGCTAAACTAGCTTACGTTTAGATTTGAGAAAGCGAAAAACAAGTGGCTTCACGCGAATGATTTAGTTGAGGGCCATTCAGCTGGGGAAGTTGATCATCCTCGGTGTTCAATCAAAACCAATCGCACAAAAAATGAATACTCAACACGTCGGGCGAGGATTCGGCAAACATAGAACGGCAGGGTAAACTATGCACCTAATGGCGTGGTGGATTAAGTGATGAATAAATCTGCAAATAATAAGTGAAACTACAATCAACTCAACACAGACTAAATCGTAAACATGATGAAAATTAACGCAATTCGTCCCTCAATCGTTCACCCAAAAATTGATGCATCATTTCAGAGTCAACTACTTAACAAGCAGCATGCAGGTCATCATCAATCCAGGAACGAAGGCATGATAGCTAAGCGAATCAGCAAGCGATAGTGTTTTTAGTCAATCGGACTCCTTAGCAGAAGCGGTAGAAAGCCCAGTGCAACTAAACGTAAAATTTTCCCACCTACTCAACTGTTGTGGCACTAGCTCATCAGCAACGACAGACGAAGGGTATAAACTATGCTTAGGAGGATTCCTGATGAGTTGAATCAGAGGGATCAAGCCCAATTCGGATAAGCTTACCCCTAAGCCATTGCTGTCAAGGCTTGCTAACCTATACCTATAAACGAAGCATCTAGTCAGACATCAAGAGCTGCTTTGCCTGTTGGAAGGAAGAGATCCTGACGATTGTTAATCCTTCTGCCTTAAAATTTGAGCAAACGAGTAAACTAGATAACTGGCGGGAGGAAGCTTTGCGTCAAAAGTAAAGCGTTGCTCAGTAGTAAACCTATCGATTTCATTCTAGACGTTTCCGAACGAACGACTTCTCGATCAATTCCAAACGTTTTCCAACCGACTGAACACACCACACGTTCCTAGGACTTTTTCACATAATAGGAAACGAGTCAATACTTTTACAACTAGCGAGGAGGAGGCACCACCGGGACAATGCACTTTGTCATCCACTTGGATATCATACAAAAACAACTGACCCTCAGCACTTCCCCCAACTGCTTACATCACCATGATGTCATCGTTTCAGAAGGGCTTCGTAGAAAAATCGGTAGCTTTTAATTGGGCAACTTTCGCTTTTGACAAAACAGCTTCATCAGGCCAAGTTGGCCAGGTTTCAAGGCAGACGGAGAACCAATCGGTAAGACCTCTTCATATTAGCGCACTAGACCAGTGTTCAGTGTCAATTAACGTCTATTGTCGGTTACGTGGTTGCCAAAATTTTGCGTTGATGGGTTGGGTGAGTTACAACTTAGTTCCGATCGGCTTTGGTTCCTCAACCTTCCACTTCAGAATTCTTCAACTGATGATTCACCATAGGTACCACTAGTAGATTTCGTTGGTCTCCGGGGGCTTGTGAGTATTACAACAATTTAGTTTGAGGGAGGGAAGGTGAGTAGGTTAAGTGGAATTCAGATGATGACAACTCATCCCTCTGATAACTGCACACCAATACGTGTCAGCTCGACTGATCAAAGACCGCTTCTCGACACGCTTGCCACTTGCGGTTGCGAAACCCAACATGGAACGGATTGGAACTGCTGTTTTCCGTGTAAACCAGGGATATCGGAGGTCATTCGAAGGTTCTAAACACGGCTAACGTAAGAGTAGCTTTACAGAGGGGGAACACGCTGCGCTCTGCACTGGTGCAATTAAAGGATCACCCCAGGCAAACAGAACCAGGGAGTGTGTCTAAAAATTAAGTGTAACAACTGCACGAAGGTCTATATAGGACAGATGGCCAGAGAACTTCACACCAGAGTCAGAGAGCAAAAGTGGTCCCTCTGATACTGCACACCAATACGTGTCAGCTCGACTGATCAAAGACCGCTTCTCGACACGCTTGCCACTTGCGGTTGCGAAACCCAACATGGAACGGATTGGAACTGCTGTTTTCCGTGTAAACCAGGGATATCGGAGGTCATTCGAAGGTTCTAAACACGGCTAACGTAAGAGTAGCTTTACAGAGGGGGAACACGCTGCGCTCTGCACTGGTGCAATTAAAGGATCACCCCAGGCAAACAGAACCAGGGAGTGTGTCTAAAAATTAAGTGTAACAACTGCACGAAGGTCTATATAGGACAGATGGCCAGAGAACTTCACACCAGAGTCAGAGAGCAAAAGTGGAAGATAAACGGTCACCGAGAAACGCAGATAAATATCGAGTGCCACTGACAGACTCAGAAATTGCGAAACATGCACTGGACACGGGACATAAAATAGATTTAGAAAAAGTTGAGGCTTTGAGGCGATAAAAATCGCCAAACATCTCAGTGTTAACAGAATGAAAGACGTGGAACTGGTAAGCGTGTGGAGAACGGTTTTGGATTAGTCAAGCTGACACGTGTTATTGTGCGGTTATCAGAAGGATGAGTGGTTATCACCTGAATTCTACCAAACCTTTCTAAAACGATGACTCCTCAGTCAGTTCCGAACTTTTTCCAGTCATGAATTCAATTTATTAAACCAATACTGAGAAGCAAAGGGAGAAAGGTGGCAACACATTATTGCTCCAAAAGCCAGACAAAATAAAACAAAACACGATAGCTTGTTTCTCTAATTCGTGAGATTTACCACTTTTTTACCAAATGACAAAATCTTACAGTGCCCTAAAAACGGCCTATGATCCGAACAACCGCTAAACCGACTTCATCTTCAGAACTCGCTCAAGAGGAACAGCAGAGCGTTGTGAATTTAACGGTCTGTCACGCGCAGTGGCTGACTCACCATAGCGATGCAGGTTGAGTATATGTAGTCGAGGATCTGGACACTTCAAGTGAGCAGCTCGCGTGTCCCAGAAAACGTCCTCCGGCACTCGAAAACGCAAGATAACTTTATCGTGCGTAGGGGCACCCAGAAAGGGTGGACCCAAACGGTTGATAGCTTGTCGTTTCTCTGGGGGAAGCTCTGGTTTGAAATGGATCACAGATCGTGGATCAAGCCCTGCAAAAGTAAAGAATCGAAATTAAGTTGAATAAAGTTCAAGAAGATATAGCTATTATAAGGTAGAGGATCACTGTAGTTTCACTAACACTTTCACTAAGATCTTCCAGTTATGGAACAACAAGATTCTCAATGGAAGCCGGCAGCTAGTTACAAGGCGCTCTTAGGAGGCCCAAAATCAACCACGGGTATAGCCTTTTCTATCTACAGATCGACTAAGATCGCAGTTTCCTCACTCTAGTACTCAGACTGTACATCGTCAAATGTTCTGGAGTTGTCTGATGATCACAAGCATAGGAGAACAAAATAAACCTACGATAAGAACATAAAAAAATAGAGTATATACTAGACAGGGTGGGATGAACAATACACACGGCGATCGGACTGAGTAAAAATCGCTAGTTTATCGACCGAGGCACATATAACCTATGAAACTAACCTTTGAGGACACCAACCGGTACCGTAATGATACAATGTTTCGCATCGTAAAACTGCATCACCGGTTCCGTTTTGTCAGTTTGCCGATTGGAATCACCATTGGAGCTCTCTCCGTCCTCCCGCGACACAACAGCCCGGACGCGCACGCCACAAATACTATCACCGGACCAATCCACATCGGTGACCACCGCATTGTAGACTATTGGTACGTTCTCTATTAATGGTTGAATGAGATCACTAAAACGTCCAGTGACCAACCGGTCCTCCCAACTAACATTGACTGCTCTGGCAACGGATGGACGGGAACCAGCCTGGCCATTAGCCAGAGCCTGCAATTTACGCTCAGCCCATATCTGGTAAGCCTCGCGCTGCTCATCTGAGGGATAGGCAAGAGCCAAGCGATCAGAGAGAGTCAACTTCCGAACTGAGAGCTCTTGCAGACCAAGCGATTGTAACGCCGTAGTACCGCTCATACTCAGGTGCCAACGTGGAGTGGCAACTTCGCACAATTCGTCCAGAACGGTATGAGGTAGTCGGTCAATAGGATTTACGTACGCTAAATATCGCAGCAAAATGGACTGAAATATTCCAGCCTCAACTTCATTCCGAAACGTCGGAGCGGGGCGAAGACCAAAGTTGGCTTCAGACTGAAGAATTGACTGTAGCGAATCGTCGATTAATTGCTATATGTAGGAGTAAAAGTAGATATGCCCGATTTATATCAGACGCACAGCACCGCTGTAGTTCCTAACAGTGTAAAAGAATCGCATATCCGAAGGCTACGGCAAGAAGAACCTAAGTTACTGACTGGCAATCACTGAGTTAAACAATACTACTGGCCATACCGCCCGGAATAATCGATAGTTGTGCATAGTGAATGACTGGCATGACAACTAAAATTGATTCAACTCTGATTAGAATGTCAGGAAAGCAACAAATCTGTGAAGTGAAGCGAACGAGTATTGTACACTTACAGAGGACAACCAGCGATGAAAGTATTTGCTCAAGTGGATCACCTCTCTCCACAAACTATCGAGTGCCCAAAAGAAACAAGTCATATGCGAGCAGCTCGACAGGCAGTCGCTCACGCTATAAAATAGGTACAATTGACTCAGGCTTGGCTTAATGTCCAAGAAAGCCACATATCCTTGTAGAGTGTTAGTTGATTTGGGTAAGCGGCATAGCTCAGCGATGTTGAAGTCAGATCAGCGAGCCTCAAGGAGAAAAATATGCGTGAACCAACGATGCACAACTGAGTGAACGATAATACAGTTCCCTTCGGGAATTAAAAAAGAATGGACCGTTGATACCGTCAGTTGTCTGAAATCCTCCTGGCGAGCGAGCCGTACCATTGGACGACATAAACTTGATTCAAACAGGGACATATGAAGCACGGCTCGCTCCGGAATACTGAGTTCCATATATGGGTGACCACCTCCGTCGCGAAAGTCTAGACAGTGGTCACTTCTGAATACACCTTATCAATCTAGAGCTGCGATGCGACTTTCAGTGTTTGAGGAAAACGCGCTTTCTCCAGGCGTGACAACTACAACGATCTTGTATCCGGCCTTAAATTGAGTGGATGAGAGGCATTCGAATTTCCCAAGCAGCGTATATCGGTTGATGTAACTGAGGGTTAGGTCGAGGTTCCGAAGTGCCACACACCAGCCTCTAAAGAGTTTCCTTATTGATCTACGACCGCTGACAATGGATATTTTGAACCGGTTCACTACTAAGTAGCAAAGGGGCGAGATGGCTCAGCGGTTAGAGCGCGAATTAGGTGACCAAAATGTTCGTGGTTCAAACCTGACCCTTGCCGCTCGACTTCCCCTGTCTAGAGCAACTTGGCAGTATCTCAGTCCTCGTGCTTCCTTCGGACGGCATGGCAGCTAGGCATCGAAAGGGTGTTGCAGCTGAACGATTATCTTACTCATAGCAAAAGTTCGTTAAACATGCATTTAGGGCTACAGCAGGAAATATTTCCATCCTGGGCGGCTGTAGGACAAGTATGCGCAAGTAAAACTCGAGTTGTAACTGCGATATAGAAATAAACAGCCCGGCCAAATTATGCCTATTCGGGAATCCGTCGCTTCCGCACACCACATTCAGCAAAGTCGGCGAAGGTCATCTCCACTCCATATAATTTATTTACTGTATTTCGGCATGTTGATGGAGTAGCACCTGAGATATCGCACTGTCTCCGGAGCGTCTACTCGTAGACACTGAGTTCCCAACGATACATCTCAACTGAGACTGAACTTTAGAGATGCAAACCTGCTCGAAATTGAATGATTCACCTGCACGATTTGGCATAGGCTTCATGCTCGCAAAGTGTAGGGCAGTCCCGTCAGAATGGATGGGAGAGAACCCAAAACTGTGCTTGCCGATAAGCCGATCGATATGGCTGATACCTTAGTTCGACAGCTATATTAGTCTCCAGGGTCTGATCCACGACAAAATCACCCTCCAAATTGTGGGAGCGATGGTCTTTTAGCAGCCTACGATATAGTTAACCCTGATGCAACACCGGCTATTTGTCAGTTACATATGGCGCTACGCGACGCTTATATTAGTTTTAGGGATTGCTGAAATAATCCGCTCATCGAACAGAGCAGATAACGAAATCAATGACGCCTGGCGAAAAAGCAGTAAACTATGAAGAATAGTTAGAGAGCACACCTGTTCAACTCTTATCGGTATTTTGCTTCCAATTTTGGAGAAAAATGAACGTGACCTAAGGGAGCTGAAAAACAAAATCTGCTTTAGCCGCGACAGGCCATGTATGAAAAGAACGGATAGTTGTTTGCTATGAAGAAAAGAACGATACCACGAAATCACAAAGTAAACGAACGGACAGTGGTGCTCTTGAAAGTTACGACGAAAAACCAATTAGCTCTGAACGATTCATCCACTTCTCACAGAGGTTATCAGCGTGAACACAAATGCTGCGGTTTCAAAACAGATCAGTAAGTGGAAAATCACGTTTTTGTCTAAAGCTAGAATGTCCGGTAGCAGGAGGGAATATTCGTCATTCTTCAAGCTCTATGTAGGTTCCTTTCGAAAGAAACTAAACTCTGTCAGGTAATATAGTTGTTTCGACTTCACAGTCTGGCGTCTAGTAAATCCAGCAAATCCGTAAGTTACTGTTTGTCAAGGGTTTTAGCGACAAAATTGACATGCTTAACACATAAAGATCTCCAATAACCGCAAGTATCAATGAACTTTTGAGTAATACTCGGCTATCGAAAACACCACAGAGAGCCTGAGCAAACTTTCTTATTCGGACTTACCACAGCGATCTCAATATGTGGCGGTAACATAAGCTGGGTGCGCATATTTTTCAGCGCAAACAGCTGATAGCGGGGATGACCACAATGAACTTGGACTTCTGATACCTAATAGGGACTACTGGAAAGCTAGAGGCCGAATCGAGGACACTGGGTTCGAAACAGCTCGGCGATTAATGGACAAACCTACTGATCCGAAGGTCTGTGGTTCGTTTGCTCCCGTTTAGAACTTGACAAAGTGGAAACATCTTGGCCGAGCTTTGTACAGAATGGGTGTCAGAGAGGAACTATTAGTCACTCATTGTAGTATATAAACAGAAAGTATAGGGTGATGCAAGCCACCGGCTTCATGGAAAAAAGGAATTCATCAACAAGAGGTCTTCCATGAATTTATAGAAATTCCAACGAGTGTCCTTTGAGACGGTAATTTAACCACTACCATTCCTATTATCATTCAATTGTACTAAGAAATGCAAGTGGTTTGCAAATAAACAAGATATAGCACCACTCATCCTTCGTCCATGGAGTTCACATCACGCGTTCTCTTGATGACCATCTTTTCGAGTCACTAATCTTCTAGAAAGATCATGTGAATTGTGTGATGAATAGATGACTCAGTCTTCGGAGTAGTGGCTTTCAACCAGCCATGGGCTGAGGACCTCTTCCATCCTATCACGAACAACCATTTTCCCTACCGGAGGCCAACCATAAATACTAAATGAAAATAACTTGGGTTAATTTTGGACGTTGAGGTCAGTACCAAAAAGAGCGAAGAAACACTTGAGAAGAAGCTATTCATGACGCTTTAGCTTCCCAGTTATTTTTTTCATCCAATTTATTCGGTAACTTATATTAGAGAGAGACCTGAAAAGGCACAAACAAAAGCAATATGTGGATGACTTATGTGAGGAGCGCGTATGAAGGGTACAAATTCTCGACTATGCAATTCAGGGCTAAGGAACCCCAAGCCAAATGAAGTGAATTAGTGTACTACTGACGGTCAATAGCTGGCGTCGATGAGGTCCAATAGGGTTTCGAAAATTGTTGACTTCAAGTGGGCTACCTCGTAGACTTAACAGGTGAGCAAAATGCCAATGTAGAAACTTGTCTACCGTTTAAGATCTACCATTTCAATCAACAATCACACGTCTCGTGAAAAGGGTTAGATAAAATTTAACTTTTTGTCCATGACGACCCGATGAACAGCAGCAAAATTAACATAGAAACTTACAACAGGATAAAACAAGGGAAGAATTAGACGGACTTGACACCATGCTTTATCTATTAACTTAGATAACCAATAGGGAAATAATAAAGGCCGGAGAGACAAACTACCGTGCAAGTCGGACTGCGCACCCTCGTATCATTTCTGGCCGTGTCCGAATAGGTGACGTAATGCAATAAATTTCGTCACTAGCTGATTATCCGTTCTGATGAATCCGACATGCAAACTACGTTCACCAATCCATGTGCTACTCCCTTCCAGCACACAAACACATTGTAATCGCTGCTACTCGAACCAGAGGGAAATCTTCCGGGAAGAAATTTCGATGTTTCGAAGGGTAATGGAAACCCTATACTTAAAAACATTAACCACTTAAAAAATCCATTGTTGGTCCGGTTTATGTGGTAATTTTTCCACTCATAATATACTCTTGCTACCAATGCATAGCGTCTTGTTCCTACCTTATCTGTTGCAGATGACATACTTCTAGTCATGACGTCCAAGTTGTCACAGTGAGGTGTGCTTTAGCCTGCTTACACGTGAAATTTCAAATGGAAAGAATGACGTGTTGCGAAAACAATTGGTTAAACCTTGTAAGCGCCGTATCCGTGTTTTCGCTACGTCCAGCTCAGAGTTATATAAGGAACAATGAGAGCGTCCGTACGGATATTGCATACGTACATAGAGACCTAAACCCTGGAGAATCCTGCAATCGCCTGTTCACCATATTCCCACCACCCTACGTAAAACAAATCAACTGATGGGGAAACGAACAGTTGGACGCTAAAACAGGAAGAGCTGCCGAAAGTGCAACAAAATCGCAAATTCAGACCCAGCCTGAAATAAAGCAAGCTTTTATCACTATGCTTGTCGTGTGACATAGATAGACCTGCTTAACCTTTTCATTTTGTTCTCTCGAATTATTGTTTCCGGCCTCCAAAACACATCTAGGTAACAGACTAATTTTTGGATTTTGCGAAAGGTGAAGTACTGACCTACTAAACCTCCAGGTGGTAAAACGTTACCTGAAAACTTCAATTAGACGCAAACATGTGATGGTTTCAAAAGAAAATACGACTAGACATAGAGATGAATCAAGGCAAAACTTGAAGTTCTTGGCAGTGTGGAATACTATGAACACTTATCATTAACAGGAAACCTAAAATGGATGAAGTTATCAAGCTCCTATTAGTGCGTTTTCTTGATTGCACTTGTAACGCTCCCATAAAATAACAGTCGCAGTACAAGTTATTTCTCACTTACTCAAGATTCCATGGAGTTGGAGTTCTTGTTTTCGGGAGAATTGAATGATTGCTTGAGATATACTAAAAGGGGTGCACAATGCGAAATAGGTTAAGAAACACTGACCTAAGCGATCTTCTATTAACCCAGCCAATGCGATCGACCGCTTTTGTGAGGGCGCCTGCTAGCCAAGCGGCTACGTGGATCACTAGTTCAACCAATGATAAGCCTAGCTTCAGTGTAGGCGTCAGACCAAAGATGGCGGACACATCTAGTTGCAGTGGTTGATTTACTTGCAACGTTCGCCGAACATTTCGCATCGGCTAAGCTGTTAAACGGCAACCGAGGTCTCGAAAACCACTTGCGAAGGTTTCAGAAAAAGACACAGAAGCACAGAGAAAGGAAATCTTGTGCGGCTACGTACCTATACCTACATACAAGCAGGCAGCTTTGGATACATTCCCTGGGTGTTAACAGAAAAAAAGTTTGGTCAAAAGGGATGTCGGTCCTCGTCTAACATCAGCACAACTACCCTCCGAAGCAGATTCAGAGGGGTCTAGGAGCTTGTCGTCGGTTATACAAATGATGGCGACTGAACCGTGGCCCATTAGCACGCATGATGATACCAACCAACTAACCCAGTTCATTTGCACCACAACGGATTGTTCTGTGACTATGTTGTCCTGCAGCATTCGGTACAGATTCGGCGTACAAGGCCTATCTATCGTAGTTAATCCCCTTAGCTTGGTTTCCACTGTCTGCAATGGTGTGGGAATAATACCCTTGTGTTTCTGCTGTTTGGTGCAGGAGACAACAAGCTTCACTTCAGACCTCACCCAGCAGTACAGATATTTCGTCGGATCCGTTTGTATGAACATTGCCAGTGACGACTACTTGGCTAACCAGCTAGTCACTAAACAGGTAAAAGGATCGCTCTGTTGAGTTCACATAGTCCAGAATGTTATGGAAAGAATAAGGCATGAATCCATACTCTCTGGTGGCAACTGTTGGCATCCGCATCCGATTGCTTTGCTCTACTTTGATACACTTGCAACCGACTTTGGCCTCCCGGTGATACTGGACGACACGACATTCTGAAGAATCGTCTTACACTGAGTATGTGCTCCCTAGTTTGGTGAGGCTTTCCTACAAGCGGGCAGCATTGGTTACCGAACACCCCAACCACTGGCAATTAAAATAATGATTGTCGAAACTGTTACAGCTGTTAAGCAGAACGGTTTGGTTGTTCGTGTTTAATAAACAAACACCACCACATGAGTTCACAAATCAAAATAAATCTGCTGGTCAACATGGGCACAGCGGAGGAAAGGTGTCAGAAGTACCGAATTAACCTAAGTGTTAGGACTTGCAGAGGTCTGGTTACTGTGGCTTGGTTTTTGGCTCATCATCACACGCTGTGTGCATATCACCACCCGCCAGTAGAAACAGGAGTAAGGCAAGCATAATAAACTAACTGACTGACATCGCACGTCGTCCCTGTTTGTGATCGTTGAAAAACAAGGATCACTGAACTTAGACATAAACTTCGAATGCCTTAGGGACATGTTCGTGTCCCCCGTGCTGGAACATTAGTAGCAACCAGCTTGTACCTTAGCTGACGCGTCGGCTCCGATGGGGAGCATCAGACTGTGCGGGTTACGTCCTTTTACTGATAGACATGGATTCCATTTAAGTTTATTCTTCACCCTGGATTTGGGATCAAACGCGGAGATTTCATAGGATATGGGATTTGCAGACAAGGCAAACGAGATAACACGAACGGATTCACTCATCTTTGAATTTCCGTGAGTTGTACCCCTGTTTGACACCCGGACCCATAGTTACTCCTACCTATACAGAACATTGCGGTAAGTATACTATACTAATTACCAAAGAAAACAACTTCATATCAGGCTACAATCATCCCCACCGATGCCATATAGACTGTGTACCCCGAAAGATTGTCAAGCTACTGCGTTCGATGACAACAGTCATTCACAATTAATCCATCGAATTTCGGGCAAATTTACTTTCAATCATTTGGCTCCGTCTTCAATCAGAGTCGATCTCCGTTCATCCGATGTTCGTCACGTACTGGCCAGTCATTTTTGATGTCGTTCACTACAGCTTATGATCTAAGCGTCCTCCAGAGTGTTATTTTGTTTTCAGGTTCCCTTCGATATCGAGCAAGCCGGATACTGCCTAACTGGTAACTTCTTTGTCAATACTGTGTATTGACGAATCCTAAGCATCAGCAGTTGGATACAGAAACCAAAACGTCATCACTTATGGAACAGCCACTGACGAATTGTCCCATTGGTAGACAAACGTTTGTTCACAGAGGCTGATCGTAGAAGGCTGCAACAGTCCGACAACAGCTCAAGGTGAAACAACATGAGGAACGTGACGAAATTGGCAAAATTTTGGCCGTTTGAGCCAGTATTTAGATATGGCACACAAAGGACCATTGGAGGTCAAATATTTTCCAGGAATGCTCAAAGAATTCTCGATGGATGCAGTTTTTGAAAATGGCTCAAGCGGAATTGCAAACTTACCGGAGTTAAATGGTTAAATGGCAAGTTAACGTTGGGACCGGATGAAGAGAATGATTAAAATCTGAACATTTGCCCGATGATCAGGTGATAGTTGGTCCGTTCAGTCAAGAAGACACGGAACCTCATCGTGGTGTGACGGCTTTTGCAATCGCATAACCCAATGAGCTGTACTGAGGAGTGCACGGGTGACATTCACAGAGCCTCTCATACAAGGTTGGTCAATCAGTAGAGTTCTAACTAACCACAGTCTTTTGGTTGGGGGTTGGAACATGCATGGCGACTGCTCCCACGGAATTGCGCCAAACACCGCTGCCCTGTGATTAGGCTTTTGGAGCTAATCTTTGGATGAAGACCCTAATCGTCATCTTGTCTAGGTGTCAGAGTTCTGGCAGCGTCTGCATCAGGTATGACCATGAATTGCGCACCCAGAAACGGCAATAAAGCACCAATATTCTTACCTGATGTTGCTGACAGTGACGATGATTTATGATGTTTACCAACCATTACCATTAGCTGCAATCGTTCAGCTGTAGCGCTCTTTCAGTTCCTAACTGCCATGCCACCAGAAGAAAGAACGAGGGATGGGATACTGCCAGGTTGCCCAAGCCTAGACAGGGGAAGTCGAAAAACAAAGGTCGGATTCGAACCATGGACCTTCCGGTTAGTAAATTCGCGCTCTAATCATCGAGCCATCTCGCTGCAATATTAACGGTTAACTCGCCCACCACGGCCGCAGACCCTCAGTTTATCTGGCAGCCTTTAACGTTTGCACTTGAGAACAAGCTGAACAGCAGAATGCTTCCGTATGTGCACAGGAGTAGTTTACTATTAGCGTGTTGTCTCTCTGAAACGAGGATTCAAGATCTAAGTACGGTGGTTCAGTTGATCTTTCCATCGGTTTCCGCATGCTTCTGGTTGCGCACCTCTGATGATCCAGAAGCCGCTGTTGCTGCTTCTGTAGAGTTGGCATCGCTCCAAGTCAACGAATTGAAGGCTCTCTGTTGGAATGACTGCCCATTGATAGTCAAATGTGTGTGGCTCGAATAGAAACGTCTGTGGGAGTATCCTGTGAACTCACCGATAATCGTTATCTGTTCATCAGACATGCTTGCCCCCCTCAACAGACTGCAGCCGCGATCCTACCAGACAGTTTTTACCACGCTTTGAGGCAAGCTAAAGGTTCAAATGTTGTTGTGGTTGCACAAATAGGTAGCCTTACCGCCGCTGAGACTCAAATGAGCGATTGTCTTGGACTGGTGTTGGGATGCGAACGCTTGCTGCAGTTATTTTCTGACCACAGTTCGGAAACCAGTACGCTCTATCAGAAGGGTATGACCCAGACGATTGTGAATATGATGCGCTGTTTGTATTGCCACACTTGTCACCTGAGGATGTATGGGGAGCTTTCCTATAGGTAGTGATATCCGATATGGGTCCACCAACTCTCTATTCATTGATAAAGTGATAAGGTGAACACTGGAAGGTCTTTAAAACGCCGGTGTTCAGATAGATCTGCGCGAGTAGCCTGTCGATCTGGGACATGCCGACGTTTTATCAGTTTTGCAGAGCAAGAAGCGCAAATATTACTAAAAAAAAGTCGACCTAGTTCATCCACTCCTTCGACCACAAAACCATAAAGTGCAATATCAAACTGCAGGATGCGCGATCTTAGAACATGCCTCTGAGACTGGAAGTTGTGCAACGCCCTACGTATCTTAGAAGTTGTACTGGCTCTGTCAGTAGTGTGACAGACGAATTCGACGTATGAACCTCGAAGACCCGGATTGGGTTTGTCAATTTGCATCACTTGTGGCATTAAAGGGCGTCATAGAGCTTCAAGTGAGTGTACAGCAGACTACCGTGCACCCTGTGTTGTTGTACCGCTGCGAGAATGGGCCACTTTGGATGGAAGATCTGAAACAGTTTTACATCTTTGCCCACCAATATCTCAAAACTATGGCTGGAATCTGCTAGAATCAGAGAATTCGGGATGAGTTGATCAGAAAACGGGTCTTCGGCTACACTGACGGCACTTCACTCGAAGAATGCACTCGGCACTGCAAGCTATAGTAGCTAGGCCATAGGTTACACGTATCGAGGCATCACCTGCCGGGAAAAGTATTCTTCCTGCACCTAATCTGAAGTGGCGGAAACATAGAGGTGGACAAAAGCTGACATAGCAGAAGGGAATGAAGAATGTTATGAAGGGTTTTCAGCAAAGTTGTGGGTAGTTTCCTCCATGAAAATGCAGTGAAAAGGTTGGGTGCTGTTCGCCTTCCAGGATGCGGTTCAATTGACCCTCCCTATGTGTGATTGAAGACATTGAAAGACAAGGCGGCTAATAGATGTCCGTGTTGTCAGTTTCTATCCAGACTGTCTGATTGTTGGAGACGTAGGCACCTCGGATACTATTGGTTGACTACTCCTCCATGCCCCAATTTTCTTGTTTCCATTATGAAGCTTTATTCAACCAGATTTACGTTTTTGAAGTAGTGAAGTAGCGGCGTTGGCACCTGTTGTCACTGTCAAATTAGATGATGTATGACGATGATGATGATGATTGCAGGCCAGATGTCATCATAACAAAAGACCTGAAATCGGACATCACAATCATTGTAATTTTTTCACTATGTCGCGTAATTGTTATACTTAGGTAGTTGGAGGACATTTAGTTAGCTGGGGTTATTTGAGTGAAACCGAAGCTATTTGTAGTCGGACTATCATACATCACCGTTATCAAGGACAGTTAATGAACACCTTACAGAGATCGAGTTAGGTAAAATGTTGAAAAACCGAAGCGCCGAATATGGACAAACTTAGCTTGCTGCGCACAACCCTCCGGCCTTACGTGAGAATACAGCAAACGGGAACTGTACCCACAGATCTATCGTGTGATATATTTGACAGGAAAATATGGGACAACGGTAGCTTGCGCTTTTGAGCACAACTTACAAGAGGGTATAGAAGCTTATCACAGCTGTCGCATGAAAAACTATGGTTTGCATGAAATTCGTGAAGAGACTCGCGTGATACAACTAATGACACTGACACTAGAAAGGCATCATTACTTAATACCCCATATTATTCTGATGATTAACACAGAGTATCAATTACCCTGCTGGCGCGGGTCGTGGGTGTACGGAGCTCACCAAAACGGAATAAGTTCGAAGCTGCAAGTGTTCTTTGTCGGATTCCGACTAATGTAAACCCGTTGTTTTTAGGATCATGGGTTGGTATCAGCTGTTCACCAGTTTTGAGTTGAACTCGTCGTACTAGGCTGACGCAACCTGATAAAATTGGGTCAGGTTCGGTTGTCGCCTAGTGAAATCCAGCACAGCCCCTGGAGTTGTTGCCATTTTTAGCTGGTCGGTTGGACAATAAGTCTACTTGGATTTACTGAAACGATGTAGGCCATGTTTGGTCATTTTGGATGGTAACGGTAAGCATTGTCCGCATAGAATGATTATTAGCCCAGCGCCTTCTCGTAGAAAGGCTTCGTTTGATATATATATATATATATTTAGTCCAGGCAATTGAGCCATGGAAGGAAGCCAACAGGTAGACGAAAGACAGAACGACACAAAGGCTCTTGGAGGGCATCGTCCATTGGAAATCTGGCGAAACCCGGCTGCAGTTCTCGCTAGATTCAATTGTTAAAACCAAACTATTTCAAACCATCAGCGATAATCAAAGACTATTATCTTACCTTAACAGATGGCTCACCAGCTGCATATGCGTGGTTAGATCCGGGACCTACAGCTGCGGTAGATAACGAGGCTCTGTTTCTGAACTTGAGGTGTTTGTCTACAGCCAGATGAACAACTTTATCAAACAAAAAAGCTGCTTCAGCGACTTCTTGGAGAGGGATTATCGGTGCGTCGGGTTGATTGTGATCGCGCCAAACTGCCAGTTCAGCACACTCCCATCCTCGATACTTTTTACATAGATCCCCGACACAAGTTGCCGTACTGACCCCGAGCAATCTTGCCATGTGGAAAAGCGGTTGATCAGTTTGGCGATTAGCACAGCCGATTAAATAGTTAGCGCCTAAATCCACATCCAAAGGACCCGAGCTATCATCATTTTCATCGCAAAAATGGGCACAGATGGGTTGGGACTGATTAGGGTCATTGGAGTCCACGTCCGCAGGAAGGGTGTTGCAATTGCGATTTTCATTGGTACTGTCACTATGGGGGCTCGATCGATCGATTCTACCCGTATGGAAGACACTGAGTTGATCGTGATTCACGGCATGACTGAAACGCAGTGTCTCATTAGAGTAGGAGCGAGCTGTAGTAAAAAGACAAAACGGCAGGAGTGCGTGGTTAATTGTTATAAAATACAGGTTACTCCTCATATATGAACTGAGGAAGAGGACACCATATGGGTGCATGGTTGTGGGTTTCGGCAACTTTGGGAGCGATCCGCCCTGTTGTGCTACCAGGTTTTGAGGTCCTATAAAAATCACTACCTGAAACTCGAACTGCACAACCGTATAACATTTCGCGCGCAAAACTGTTAGGAATGAAGAGCTTCCCTGATTTTCTTCGCTCTAATCTACATTAAGACATGCAAATTTTCAATGCGCACTACCACTACCATATTCATGGTTAACTTTAATTTGGTCGACTGCCCCTAAGACAGCATGAGTGCCAAGAGGGAAAGAAATGTCACTAAAGTGAGCCCAAAACAACAGCAAAACTGAACATCTCTCGTACAAACAGACCTCTACGGCAGTGAAGCATCGGTGTTGAACACTGATGTCATGCTGTCGACGATGATGATGATGACAAACAGACCTCTTGAAGCGAACAATCTGAGACTTGCTGTTTAGTCAGCAGCTCCGTATGGAGAGTGCCAAGCTCAGTGGCGGCATTTACAGAAATGGATCCGCAAGCTAATACAATGGATCGACATAAACACTCAATACATTGATTCACTCTATAATGGCATTTTCGCTGGTTCAATGTCCACGTCAGATATGGCAGCAAAGCTACCATACGCAACCCCTAAGTTAAGGCGAATTATCTGATACAAACGACCGACTTGGGAACAGAAGACAATCATGCGAAAATATTCTAAGGTAGGTGTATCAGTGGCTCTATAAGTTTCCTACCTTATGGTCTCTCACAATAAGGTCGTACCAGGATTGTTTGTAAGACATCTCGAGGTTAATTTCAAAGTATGTCGAAGTATGTGAAGCATCTAACCGGAAAAAACTACCTGATCTGTCGAGTCTAACCTAGTACGAACAGTGCTACGGGACGGGTGTGCACATCCGGTTCTGTATTCGCTCAATAAAGAGCGTCACATGGAAACCAACATTGAAATTCGATGTCAAGTCATTCACAATTAATCCATCGAATTTCGGGCAAATTTACTTTCAATCATTTGGCTCCGTCTTCAAACAGAATCGATCTCCGTTCATCCGATGTTCGTCACGCACTGGCCAGTCATTTTTGATGTCGTTCACTACAGCTTATGATCTAAGCGTCCTCCAGAGTGTTATTTTGTTTTCAGGTTCCCTTCGATATCGAGCAAGCCGGATACTGCCTAACTGGTAACTTCTTTGTCAATACTGTGTATTGACGAATCCTAAGTATCAGCAGTTGGATACAAGAACCAAAACATCATCACTTATGGAATAGTCAATGACGCATTGTCCTACTGATAGACAAACTTTGTTCGCAGAGGTTGATTGTGGTTGAAAGTGTTGCAGTTGAAAGTATTTTCAACTTCAGAGATGCCATTCGTAAAGTAGCCTGAACAGCCACCTCAAATAACCATGGGTGGCCCTTTATCTTCAACCCAGCTTTATCGGAACCTGACTAATTGCATTCCCTATTCTCAGGCTATGAAAGTCGAATGCTTTCCGCACCCTCACCTAGCAACTTGGTAATACACATAATTTGGCAACTGGATTGGTTGTTCTAACTCTGCATTCCCGGGTTGTTCGCGAAAGGCGAGTTTCTCTTATTTGCTACTGAAGAATATTCCAATTGCAGTGGACAGTCCAGTCAATTTTATAGTCATAGCGACCTGTGTTTGGCGCCCGACAGAATGAACTTCAAACACTCGCTCGTAATTCAAAGTCATGTTTGTCGTGTGATCACTTACTTAGCACAATGCCCAAGTAATGACAATTTTATTGTGAGCCTACGGAGATTTATATATAACATGGCATTTTTGAAATCACCTTTACGGTTTTTTATATCTCCGTACGTTATTCAAACTTCGCATCAATCTACAATATGTATACTGGAAATTGCCGTTCGGGTACCAGGGACATTTTAATTTCACTTGAATTATTGAACAAAACGGACTTAGTAACAATTACACGTCAATGGAGCCCACATTAGTCGTGGACAGACGAATCACAAAATCTGAGTGCACCTAAAAATCTAACGTGAAACCATACTCTATATCAGTGCCAGATCCCCACTCTTTCTGTTACCCAACGTGAGGAACGTTTGATAATGAATAATCGGATCATTTTTCACCTGACTAAGGTCACCCAAAGTGATAGAAACACTAAGTCAATGGAGGAAATTTGCTCTAAGCGTTATTTCTTCATCAATACTCAACCCGAACGGACGTCACACAGTCTATCACATCATTCGTACAGAATACGTTGCGGATATTCCCGAAACATAGGTTATTTATACTCCAAAAGGCGAAGATGTCAGCAATCTTTCATATTGGAATGAACTTTTGGAATCCAACGGTAATGAACAGAGAATGGTCCTGAAACACATACATCTAGTACATGAGGATCGAGAGGTTGAGATCCCCTGGAAGAGGTAGCCGATAAAATCAGTATATCCGCTGAATTGTGGGGATTAGTATAGATTTGAGAAATGTCGGATGAGAGATCATATCGCTGGAACGTAATTCTAACCATCCAATCAAATTAGAAGTTATAGTCGTAGACTCGAAAGATCATTGTCAAATTCACCTGGAACCCAGCGAAATCTCTCGTTTATGATATTTGTGATGTATTACGTATATACATGTATCGCGATATCTCGAATATCATTACAACTGAAACATGAGGTGGCCTGGTGCAGCACATTCACTTGCCTGGAAACATCACAAACGAGAGATTCAGCTGGGTTCCAGGTCAGTCCCTCGTAGAACCAAATTTGTTTGCAAATGAGTATTTCATGCAATTTGGTTTCAAGTAGAACATAAAGTTGACGGAAACTCGGAGGCTGCGCCTACCTGATGATCCCCCAGAAAGTCGAAACCGGTCGTGGGTTGTCGATGAATTTTCAGCAACCTTGTGAGTAGTGCATTAAGTATTCTACAGTCATCCTTCTCACATCACCCGATACACAAAGGAAACACGGTGGCAACATCCGGAGTCACACACCTGATGCATCCACATTTTCAGAGGCAGAAAAAAGTATATAATTATATGGCATTCACCTAGTCTGATCTGATGAAAAAGGCAACACGCCGGATACATAGTTGGTAATAGAAATATGAACCTAGGAGGAAAGCCGAAAGGAGTAGGGACCTAAGCCAGTAATGAGAAGTTGGCCAATGTACAGAAGAAGCCAACGAATGTTTAAACGTTGTGCTGACACCGATAATTCTACGCACTCCATCAAAACCAAAAAATCAACGAAAGCGACATAAATAACGAAGACACCAGACCATGTAAGTCTATAGCGTTCCCCAGAAAGTTGCATAAGTACAGCGTATCACGAAAGAGGTTTAGCCTTGTATCACAGTTCAAAATGTTGCAAAGCAATTCAATCAATTCATCAGCTATAAACCGTGTAAAAGAAAAAAAGAAAGCGTTCAGCTGTAGCACCCTTCCGGTGCCTAGCTGCCATGCCACCCGAAGGAAGCACGAGGGCTGGGATACTGCCAGGTTGCCCAAGCCTAGACAGGGGAAGTCGGATTCGAACCACGGACCTTCCGGTCAGTAAATTCGCGCTCTAACCATTTGGGCCGTCTCGCCCCTTATAAACCATGTACCATAGGCACATGGGTTCCAGCTGTTACAGTTTCGATCACCGAGAAACGGGAATGTGGGACGTACAACCCAGCCTTAGAGGCGAAGACATGTTCAGTTTGTTCGGAAATTGGGCAGCTATGTATTGAAAGCGATAACTTCCATGCACGAGCGCCACCAACTGCGCGATTGGGCTATTTCTACCAGTGTCATTAGTCATCGATGAGTTGAGTCCCGAGGTCCCCATCCAGGGAGATGGCAGCGGCCCATCCGACTTAGTTTACTGGTTAGTCTTTTCGTACTTCGTTGCCAGGTCATACACTATCCATCTACCGGTCGGTTCAACTCAGCACATAGCTGGGGAAAAAGAGCTCTGTGAGGCAAACGGTCTTCTGGCATGCGGAGTACGTGCCCTAACCTATGAAGTGTCAGTAATTTTGTCTATCACGGGAGAGTTCCTTCTTCCTAGGACTACCTGGCATACCTCAGCGGTACTAATCCGATGTTCCCACCGGACTTGATCAACGTTTCGGAGACACCGATGACCAGACAATGACATCTTCCGTACGTCCTCTGCGCGTAGGAGACACGTCTCTGATCCATAGAGCATTGTGGATCGCACCACCGCAGCGTAAACTCTTCCTTGACAGACAAACTCACGTCACGTCGGCACCATAGGTGTCGGAGGCTGGCAAAAGCTGCCCTGGCCTATCCGATTCGAGAAGTAATCTCATCTCCAGTCAGTCCACCGGAACTCATACAGCTGCTAGGTAAACTAATTTATCTACCACGTCGATTGGCTCACCTACAAGCATGAGGTGTGGGTTTGGTCGCACCCAGTCTTGTGACAGCACTTTACAACTTGCAGGTGCGAAGCGCATGCCAAACCGTGCTGCAGAGTTACTTAGGTTATTTAGAATCGTTTGTATTTGGGAAGGATCTGAACCAAGGAGAGCAATATCGTCTCCATACTCAGTGTCTGTAAGGGAACGTCCCGGAAGCGTTTCGATTCCCGAGGTTTCAGAGGCAGGCAGGGAAATCTCGAGCACCATATCAATAACAAAGTTGAAAAAGAAAGGGGAAAGAGGACAGCCTTGTGTTACACCACTGGACGTGGTGAACTCAACCGAGCGTTTTCCGTATACTCGTACGCGCCCACAGGAGTTCGCATATAGTGTCCTCATAAGGGAGAGAATTTGGGACACCTTTGATCGCCAGACACTGTCAAAGGTGCTGACGATCGAAAGAATTAAAAGCAGCTTTCAAATCCAGAAAAATGACCAACGTGAGACGCCTGAAGGAGTGGCACCGTTCAAGAATTTGTCTCCCGATAATTCATTCACCTGTGCAGAATAATGCCAGAGAGCACCTCAGATGCGACGGATAACAGGCTGATACCACTATGGTTTTCGCATGGTTTTCTTGCGCCCTTTTGAGAACCGGGACGACGGTCGGGGAGCTCCAATCCATCGGTATCCTGTTTTTGTCGCGAATCCTCTACAGTATGGCTGTCAGACTGTTCACCAGGACCTCGTCACCTTTGAACAGTACGGGGTGCGAAACGCGTTAGGTACCTGGTCGCGTTGAAGGATTGATATCTCGCGCTGGATTTCTGTTGTTGGTGGCGGGCTGGTGTCAATGCTTCACTCAGGTTCGCTGGGTTCTTCCAGCGGTTGCATTTAAGGAGATCGGGTGACCTGTTCTATGAAGTCCTCAGCCCACCACTCAAGACGACGATTGAAAGCATGAATTGGCGTTCCGTCTTTTTCACATACTGTCTCACTGACAGCTGCCTTCATTGGACCGGTTCACCAAATCAGTTAAAACAGGGCGCAGCTGTTGCCCGCTGCAAAAGCCTTTGAAAGCCACCAGCGCTCTCTGTCACTCTCCAAGCTCCTGATTATCCGGTGTTTGAGGGATCCACGTATGCCATCATAGTCACTGGTTGCTAGTATGGCCTTTTCTGGCAGTAAAGTATGTCAAAAACTTAACAAAACTACGTAGTTTGGCAAAAGTTCTACGCCTGTCCTTTGGCCACAAAAACGAAAGAAATGTACTCCCATGGATCGGATACTGATACCAGGTGTCGGTCAAGTCAAGCAAACATGCCACCAATTGATTGGATGACACTGGTCAATTCAAAAATACTGGATAAAAGCAGTACCATGAGTGTGCATGACATCCATCATGATTCGCCCGAAAGCAGTGAACAACTGTGATGCAAGATCACGACAAAATTTGTCTTTCATTCCGGGGGCGTCCGCATACCTTGTCGCGTTCGTTAAAAAGACCGAGTTGTGGACACCTTCATCAATGGCGATAGGTGGCGGATCCTGACAACCGCCAACACTGCCAAGCATTCAAAGGCCTGCACCTGAAGTCGCTGTGCAATACAGCACAAATCGTAAATGCGATGCCACGGGCACGTGGCGTTTTATCCGGAGAAGACGTAGGTGATATATCAAAATGAATCACAAAAGACCCAACTCACATATACTGTGTTCCTTAGTTTCCCTACGACCTTACTGCAATCTAAAAATGCCAGTGTACCCGAGGTTGACTCTATCTTCATACTAAATTTGGTGTGTGGACTCAGGTCATTCAGATGGTTGTAAAGTTCACTAACCTTGTTTCGTTTCATCATGACGAAAGTATCATCTACATAACGCCAAAGTACCTTGGGTATGAGAACCCGTCTAGAGCTTTCTGTTCAAATTTTTCCATAAACATATTTGCCAAAACCGGGGAAGTCCCATTGCTAGACCTTATTCTTGAGTGTAAACCACGGAGTCTAAAACGAAAAAAGTGAGATTCAGGCATGCTTATATGCCTTCCACTATTTCATTCACCGTAAGCTAAGTCCATTCTGAAGGGGTGGTGTCTGCTAGTAGCAGTCGCTTAGCTATTTCCAAAAAGTCCCCTTTTGGCACATTTGTATATAATGAATAGACATTAAAAAATACAAAAATGTCGTCTGGCTCCATGGTGATACTCGCTAAGTTGTTGGCAGTCTTACAAATCCTTAATGAAAGTGTTAGATTTCCCAGTGAGGGGTTTCAAAATACCTTGCCAAGAATCTGGCCAGCTCATGAGGCAGGGAACCTATCCGGTTTCCATCATGAAATTTATACTACTGCGTTGTTCATTCGAGCAGTTCGGGGAGGCTTGCCATCGTGTCGCTGATGCTGTCCTTGATGATGATGATGATGATGTGTCGCTGATGTGATCGCGGATACGCCATCCATGTATCGCAGCCAGGTGCGTGGTAGGAGGGCGAAGTCACGTGGCGCGAGAAAATATTAGCCACTATGGGTGGTATTAGAGAGCCCGAGGTGACACCTTCAGTTTGTCTATAGAATGCCTTTTGAAAAGTGAAATACGTGGTGCATAGACACAGTTAAACACCAATAATATCAAAAAATAAGGAGAATAAGATGTGATTACATCTTATTCCACTACGCCGTTTTGAATTTAAAAATTTCATACTATATACTACATGGTGTCCAAACCTTTAAACGTTATCCGAGCCGAATTTCCCCCGCAACTCCTAAGGGGATAAGGTTCTTCCCTGTGCCAGAAGTATATCGTCCCACAAAATAGAGAACGGTTGCGAACTGGCGCACTAGTATAAAGAGCTGTTACATCAAAGATGTTCATGGGTAGATTGAAGGATGTTAACAAAGTCAAAAGTCATTCACGTGAATTACCACCAACTGATAACATGGCTTCGACAAACTGCTTAAGTATTTGGATATGTTGTAAGTTGACCAAGTAGCATAGTACACGATGGGACGTACGGGGTACCTGTTTTGTGTACTTTTGGCAACCCATAGAATTATCCGAATCTATTGGATTTTGGCACAAGTGAGTACCACCGTGCTTGGCGGAGCTTTAGTTTTAGCTGTTACTTGTACTTAACAACCCGAAGTTTGGTCTTAGACTTCCCTTCTACTGTTCGATCTTTTCGTAAGGACCCAGTGTTAGGTGTTCGAGTACTTACTTTTCGTAGTCCCAACGATTCGCGACAGCCGTTACGTCTTCTCTGTACGCTTTGGTGGTGTGGATGGACTTGTCTTTTTTCAGTGACCGCAATTCACCTATCTCCTCCGCAACATGCTGCTTCAGATTGTCCGTTGATTTTTGAGAATATTGTAGATACGTAATCTAGCTTCTTCTGAACCATCTACTAAAAGATTCGAGAGTGTGGGCTCTATAGCCAGAATTACTTCACTGAGTGTTATCGGTTTCCGGGTAAAGTTGAAATTCAAGCCTTTTTTAACGATTGCATCTCATTGTGAGATAAGCTTCTGTCGGACGGGTTGCACACAAACTTGCGTGAGTCTACTATTTCAGGCGAAATCGAAACATCGGATTACATTTTTGCATTACGCTGTATTATACACCACATAACACTCCATCTTTCTAACATTATCGGGGCCGAACCTGGCCCGAAACTTCCAAACTCTAAATCGTCATTGGAGCATTTTGGGCGGGAATGTCCGTAAAGCCAAGTCATAGACTTACGTCGAGGACACGGAGCTCCATCAGTGTACAAGGAAGGGAGTTGCACAGTGTGGATTCTTCCACCAGGGCGAGAACGAGCTTCCAATACTATAACGTTGTATGCTTCGCGGGTAAGTACACGAGCGGCTCCGAGGCCCGCGATACCGGCTCCAATGATGACGACGTCATACATGGTGTGAACTTGTCATAATTACTTTTTACGCGGCAGAAACAGACGAAATTCCAGTGGCAACTGAATACTAGAATAGAAACGAAAAACGATCGGCTTCAGAGAGCTAACAGAGGAGCATAATAGAACGTAAACAACACTGAAATAGTGAGCTACTGAGAGCCGAATTTTTCCTTTTTTCTAACAAAATTTGAGTACGGAGACCGGACCGCCCACCGCCAGAGATCCCCTAAGACGCAAGGGAAGACACAGGTCTCAAGATGGATTGGAGAGGTCTGCATTTTGAGTTAAAATTTGAAAGCATAACTGCAAATGTAAACCGCGGGGTCGAAAAGAAAGATGGGGATTGAAAATTTATAACAACAAAATAACCATCCAAATGTAACACCCATTGCGTGCCTTGCTACCATACCATCCAAAACAAGAACGAGAGCCGAGTGACTGCCAGGATTCTCGAACATACACAGGGAAAGCCGAGATACCAGGTATAGGTTCTGACCACGGACTTTCCGGTGGATAATTTCACGCCTTAACAACTGAGCCATCTCGAGCTATGAATGGAATTAGTGTCCCACCGACCCTAGACTTTATCAGGAAGGTCAGCTTCCTGAAAGCAACCACTGAATGCCCGGAATCTACGGAGACTCTCAGCTCCGCTGGGTTTTGACCAGACAGACAACGCCCCCTCAATATGCAGCGCGTCACAGCCTTGCATCAAACCCAGACAGCGCGAGTCAGCGTTGATCGAGGACAGACAACGCCTCCGCAATATGCAGCACGTCGCTGCCTCG